GTTCTTCCTCTTCAGTGGCCCTAGATTAGCAATGATTTTCTAAACAGGCAAATCTGTTTTAGGTTTTCTCTCTCAGCGTCTGAAATAGCATTTTTGAGTCTTCTATCGCGAAGCTGAAAGGACAGAATTCTGATCAGTAAGACTAATTTATTGTGGGGGAAGAGCAGTCGATGGAGAAAAACGGAAATTTACATTTTCCAGAGCTAAAGGGATTCCAGGAGGAGGAGGTTTGCTTTCCTTAGTCCCTGATTTCTTACCAGCATTAGGGTTTATTTGCTTCAAACGCTGGTGAGATTTTAATGCTGCTTTGCAATCTGTTATATTTAGCAGCTTCCAGCCATGAATGTTCCTCCAGCCAACCTCAGTCACTCCCAGCCCTCAGAAATTTCGGTGATAGAAATTCTGATAGGATTTTTGCTCCCTGCACATGCATGTGATCCCTTTCAGCTGAACCTGGTTCTAGTGTGCACTGTTTCCATGGAAAGGTTCCTGCGTGTATTTGAAAATCCATATGATGTCAATAAATTCCCCGGAGACTCAAGCAGTGCTTGGTTTGGTGTTTGTTGTGGTTACATAAGGCAGCAGTATGGGCCGGTGCCCGGCAGAGTGGGCCGTGAAGACGCGTTTTCTTTTCATCTCCGTCCCGGTGCTACTCAGGTGCCTCGAACCGGACACTGCCTCTGTCTGTAGCTCTCCTGCCCTCGCCTAGCACGGTATCTGTTTGGGCTTTCGATGGTAAGCTCTTACGGGGTTTGTACAGTACCTAGCACACTGGGATCCCTCTCTCCCTTGGTTTCTTTAGGCATTGCTGTAATACAAACCAGCAGCACTAATATTTTTGCTGTAGGGAGAAATATGCTGGTTTGATCTGTGCTGCGTAGAATAAAGCGAAAGCTACTGCCCCTAGCCCCAAAATGTGAGCAGCATGGCAAATATGCTAGTGATCTCCCAGAAATTTTAAATGAGATGGATGCTATCGCAGCTCTAAAATACAGCCTTTATATCACAGTGGGTTTTTAAGGTATTTACCTGTCTTAGTGGAGCTCTGGACTGAGTCATTCCCTGACATTATCAGGAGGGCTGGTGAGGCCCCGAAATAAGGCTGGGTTGTAGCACTGATTTTGAGCATGATTTTCCAGGGGTGCGTGTTATAAAAGGAGAGGAAAATGGATTGATAATGCTATAAGAGCCAAAGCACTGCAGCTTCACGGCAGCACCTTATAGAAAGGCGTAGAGGGTCTTATTTTAAAAAAATGAACAGGCAAAAGAAACTAGTGCTGAATCGGTTAAAGTGGTCCCGACAGGGAAGGTAGCAGGAGTCTCCAGGTTTGTCTGGTTCTGAGATCGTTTCGGTGTCTCGCGCCTCTGTTGCGCGTGAGCTGCTGCAGCGACGGTGCAGTGTAGCATCGCAGGCGCTCTCGTGCCGGCATGGCCGTGCCAGGCGAGGTCAGGAGGTGTCAGCTCTGGGTGGGGCCCGGCTGCCCTCTGCGTCTCGTCAGAAATCCCGCGGTGCTGCTCCACGCAGGGAGACGTGGGCTCCCCGGCTCTCATTTTAAGAGCATCCTTTCGCCAGCCAGTGCAAACACCGTTGTAAACTTTGGATTTGGATCCTTTATCGTGAAAGGCAAATATGCAAGTAAGGAGTGCCTTGGCCGGCTTGTTGGCTTGCTGCTGTAACGTGGGAGTGGGGAGAGTCCTGAAATGCAAATAGCACAAGGAGTTAGATCTCCGGGTGAGGAAAGGGGTTTGTAAATGCCAGGGAGCTGCTGGGGAGGATATAGCTAATAAGCTGCTGTTACAGCTGTGTTCCTGCTTCCCTTCCTGGACATCTCAAAGGCATGGCATCCCAGTCCTTCAGGTCTCTTCTCTCAGCCTGCCAGTGGGGTTATTTCTTCCCTTGGTCCTGCTGGCCCATCACCAGGCCCAACTTGTTGATCTCAACCTCTCCATGGAGGAGAGATCACGTGTCCCGGTTGTTGTGGGCCCACAGGACGCTGCTGTCCTGGCAGATGCTGCAGTAGGTCTCCTGAATGCCAGGTGGCTTGTGGTAGTATGAGAAGATGCATCGCCTGCAACGGACCTAGAAGAGGGCTTGTAGGCAGCCTACTCTGGCGGTGGGAGGTGCACATGCTCACAAGGGTATCCAGGGTTTCCGTGCCTTAGCTTCCCCAGCTCTCTGGGGATTTCTTTGGGCTAAGGCAACCTTCTGGGGGTGCCTGAGGCCTCCTTTGTTAGTGGGTCACGTTGCCTGGGACATCTACGTAGAGATATAATCAATCTCTCTCTCCCCCTCCCTCCTTCCCTTTTTTTTTGTTTTGTTTGTTTATTTGTTTTGTTTTTTAGCCTGTACTTATACAGATCGCCAGCCTTGAAATCCTGCCTGTCTTCTACCCAAGTTGCTGCTTCTTTCTGCAGAGAGAAAGAACCCGGGTCAAACTGGGTTCCCACAAGGGGCGCTCTCTTAGTAGCTCAGAGTATGGTTATGAAGAACTACTGTACTCCCCTTTTTTTGTTTTTTTGCCTGGGAAACATGGCCCTTTTTGTTTTCCAGGTGCATCGATACTTTCCATGCTGTAACTATTTCCTGATATACTAAACGTGCCATTGACACAGGCTCCTAAGTAGTCACACTGAAGTTCAGGGTTTCCAGGTGTGCAGCGTTCTAAAGGATGTTTTCTGCACGTAGGCCTTAGCCTTACTGCAAGTAGGCCTTAGCCTAATATTCACCAGCATGTGGCTCCCACGCTCTTGACCAAAAAGGCTTTTGGAGTTGGCTTTGCTTCTTCTCCCAACTCCGAATTATGCTTACCCTTTGCCTGCAAAACTGTAGGCGTCCTG